GAGAAGAGAGAAGAGAGAAGAGAGAAGAGAGAAGAGAGAAGAGAGAATGAAGAAGAGAGAAGAGAGAAGAGAGAACAGAGAAGAGAGAAGAGAGAAGAGAGGAGAGAGAAGAGAGGAGAGAGAAGAGAGGTGCAAGAGGAGCAGGCAGTGCAATTTACACAGCAGAAAGAATCACGAAAGCGATCTCCGAAGGAGGTCAGCTGAAGTTCGAGTTTGCGATTACATAGGTCAAAATCGAAGGGATCAATTGAAAAAATCACTACAAACGGCCCCCCCTCCCCACTTCGTGTGAAGCGAATCAATAGGACCGCCCCCTTAACGAATTGAAGCGATATTGGTTAGGGGGGGGCCTTCCCCCCTCCCAACCCCCCAAAGGGACACGACATCACAAACATCATGCCCAGGGGATATCTTTTTCTCTGCGGAACACAGTGGCCAATTTCTATCACAAGCTATTTTGTCCGGAACAAAAAACAATTGAACACAACATTTGTCGTGGTCATCGCTTTCGTTCCCCACCTCTCAAGTGGGAATCTTGGAGTGGAATCCTCTTCAGCTCCTCTTCATCAACCCTAAAGACTTCGTTACAGACATGCTACACAGGAAACCACACTAATTAAGCAGAAGCAACGCATCACTATGATTCAAGACAAACATGGCAACCAGTGCAGCGGGAGGTTTGGTTGTAGTAGATGGGCTGTGCTGTAGTAGATTCGCAGAGTTCCCATAGTTGTTTATTCTTTGCTCTCAAATCCGTCCATTGGATTTTGTATGCTGCTTCAAAATGCACCAGGACCAAATGCAAAAGACACGCACTTCTGTCAGTGCAGAGGCTTATGGACAATGGAATCAGAAGAAGGCCTTCACGCCACCTGACTATCCCAAGACCGAGGAGCAGAAGCAGCGCTTGAAGCAAACCTTATCCAAAAGCTTCATGTTTTCGGCCTTGGAAGAGAAAGACATGCAATTGGTCTTGGGGGCTATGAAAGAGTGCAAGATTGAGGCATTGAGAACTAAACATCATTTTAGAAGGCTGATCAGTGTAATTATATGATATGTCTTGAAAGCAACTCCCACTCGCTTTTCTATGCAATTGAGCCCATTTTGTAAAGGTACATATCTATTTATTTGAGTGAACACATTGCTTACGTGTCCAATATTTTATATTCGATGATATGTATTCCCAGGCTAAATGACAACCACCTTCATCATAGCTGATTACTCCACAACTATGACATTCTTTCGAAAAACAATAAGCCCGGTTTCTGATCAGCTTTGTGTGGTGCATTTGACCGTGTTGCTACGGCCGCTAGCCGCTGGAACCTGTCCCATCCCACAAGGCAGGCGAGAAGGTCATCAATGAGGGCGACAACGGTGATTTCCTCTTCGTCATCGAGAAGGGTGCGCTAAATTGTACCAAAGCAGTAGATGGTGACGAAAAAGTAGTGAAGACAGTGAACGAGGGCGACGTCTTTGGAGAACTTGCGTTGCTGTACAACTGCCCACGTGCTGCCTCCGTGGTTGCAAAGGATGCTTCTTGGCTAGAAGAGATTCTAGACAGTAGCATATGCTTCCATCTTTCAATAATGATTCTTGTATGGACTTGAACAAGGATGCCTGGTGATGTAAATTGACATGCTTCTCCAAGGCATGCATTTGCTGGCAGCTGGATCGAGAGTCTTTCAATCACATTGTGAAGGATGCAGCAGTAGCCCGCCGCAACAAGTACGATGAGTTCCTGAAGTCTGTGAATTTGCTTTCCTCCCTTGAGGCCTATGAGCGCTCTCAGATTGCTGATGCATTGGTGGCAGAAACTTGCAAGAAGGGTGACACCATCGTGAAGCAGGACGATCCTGGAGACAAGTTCTACATTGTCGAAGAGGGCACCCTATATGCCCTTAAGAATTTCGGTAGCGAAGAGAAGCGCGTGATGGACTACAAGCCTGGGGACTACTTCGGTGAGCTGGCTCTCTTGAAGAATCAGCCTCGCGCGGCCAGTGTTGTGGTGGAGAGTGAGACTGCCAAGGTGCTGTCCATGTCTCGGCAATCCTTCAACAAGATGCTTGGGCCTTTGGCAGACTTGCTATCTTCAAAGGTCTCCTCCTACACCTGAGTTGGGTGGAACCGCAGGGTTGAGTCGCCGTAAGCAATTCACAAGCCAGGGGTTGTACGAAAATCGTGCAGCCTCAGCATTGCGAGCCTCTATTGTCGTGCCGTGAAGACTTGCTTTGTCGAGTCTGACCTGTGCATGGACAGGCTAGGCTGCATGATCTGCCTCAGCTGGCCCTTGTTTGTCCTGTTCAATGACTGGAATTCTTCTTTGTAAGTAGTAATATATAGCTAGACTACTCTATCAAATCTACCTGCCAGCACCATCAAGGAAGCATCGTTGCGAATTGCTGGTCCAGCATGGCACCCCTGCAATGTGAAGAGGGTACCTTGAGCCCTTTGCAGCTGCACTAATTGTGACACTTGCTGGTTGACTGACACATTCTGCACGCCATGAACAAAATGGGCCTTGATGCTTGCTCAGCCATTCTTGCTGTGTTGCTTTTTCAAATCACTTTTGAGCATACACCTCATACGGCTTTGCCCCTTTTCCAGCACAGGCAGAGCTTATTGGCAGTTTGCTGAGCTGCTTGGTTGCGGTTTGCTCAGCTGATGTGGGTCTTGCCAAAGTGAGCAGCTGCTGGCAGACGTGTTGACAAGAAGTGAGGCCAATACAAGTTGGATCTTGACGAAGGACATGGCCTTCAGGAAGCCCATGACTAAGCGAAGTAAATCTGCCATCCTTTCTGAAGTATGACCAAAAAGAAAACAAAAGAGAACTTTCGTTATTGAGGACAGTTCTGTGGCTTCTCCGTGAAGCACTTGGACTTCAATAATACTCGCAAGATTGATTCTTGACGTTTGTGACGTCCATGATATCCACCACAGGCTGGACCGCCTTCATGGAGCTGACGACCGGCTCTGTCAGTAACTGAGGTTCTGGATGCGCCTGATGTTTCGGACATCGACATGCCCACTGCTGCGGAATTTGTGGTTCAATTTCTTTCAGGCCGATGTGAAGACTCATGACCTCCGCGACAAACTTGACGAGGCCATAGTTGAAAGAAGATGTTGATACCACAGTTCAACTGGCCATAAGCATTGGGGCGTATCAACATTAACAGCGAACAAATCTTGTTTAAACTTGTGTGCACGTGGCGCAGAAGCAAGCAAACATTACCACCGTGGAAGACTTGTCGAAGTTCTTGATTATTGTAAGGGCTACGCCCCGTGCCGCCGACCCCAGCGAGGGGGAGAAGGGTCGTGGTTTCATGTCATCTGGAAATGGAGTAAATAAGACGCCCGCTGAATAAGTGGGACGTGCTGCACAAGCACTGTCTTATTTACTCCATTTCCAGATGACATGAAACCCACGTAAGGTCACGAAGGTGAACTAGACTCAACTGAGTTCCTTGGGGTTGGTACCGGCGACGAATCGTAGACTTGTTCGGGTGGAGGAGTCTTTTGCCGTACTTGTCAGGTGAGGGCTGTTAGATTTTATGCGAGCTGCCTTTCTTCTCCTTCTCCCCCGCTTCGTCCTCCTCCTCGTGCGCGTCGTGTTCAACCGCCAGCCAAAACGCACAACATGCAGCCACAAAAACAAAACAGAGTACAGAACCAACGAAGCACAGCCACGATACAGAAGCACAAACAAACGAACCACGAACTCAAGCACAAACGCAACCACAGCCACGATCACAAACACAACTAGAAACACAATCACAAACACACAGCTACAATCACAAGTCACAAACACACAGCCACAACGCTCAAACACAACCAACACACAAGGATAACAATATATATGATTACCTGTGTGGGTGACATTTTGCGTGGCCGGTGGTCACAGGGTAGCACTGGTGGATGCCAACTGGAGACCCTGGCGGCACCCCAGCGCGAAGTCCCTAATACAAAAATAGCAATGCGAAACCCCGACAAGATATCAAATACCACGTAAACAAACGTCGCGCCGTGCGCTGGGCCATAGAACAGAAGCAAATGCCTCACATCGCGGTGGCGCGAGATGTGGCTTCTGCAACTGTTTTGCAAGACAAACCGGACTTAGCGACCGAAAAGTTGCAGTGGCTGCAGCGCCATGACCAAGAATGTGGTGGCCTGTACGGAGTTCTACCGCTCTGTATCGGCTTGCCCGTGCGTGCCACGGACCACTTAGACCGGCAACGGGGCATTCTGAAAGGATGCAAGGGAACAGTTGTCGGCTGGTCGTCTGCCAGAGATGCGGTCGTCGGAGATGGTGTGACACTGTGGAACGCATTGCCGGAGATCGTGTATGTCAGATTTCAAACTACGGCGACATGGCATCTCACGGGGCTGCCCGAAGCCAATGTGTACCCAGTGCCAACCTGCAAAAGAGTGTGGTTCCTAGATCGGCAGAAGAAATACCCGCAGCTGCGCGTGTGGCGCACCCAGTTTCCGCTAGCACCGGGCTTTGCGATCACCGCTCACGTTGCGCAAGGACAAACGGTGTCAGAAGGGGTCACAACGGACCTAAACATTGGCCTGAGCGGAAACCCTTTCACAGCATATGTTGCCTTCACACGGGTGCCAGGCCGAGACAAACTTCTGCTGTTTCGGCCATTTCACGCGAAGCTCTTCCAGCGCGGGGTCGGTATCGGTCGTGAGCTGCTCCTGCGAGTACTCCGTGGGGAAAGTGTGAATTGGCGCGCGCTGCTGGACGCGTACTGCGAAGAGCGCGGATGCTGCATCTGCCGAGAACGCAAACAAAAAGACGCCTATACCAGAGGCCAATGGAAACGCAACGATGACGAACGTGTCTGTCGAGAATGCGTCCAAGACAAAGCCACGTCTGGCACCCCATGGCAGTGTAATAATTGTAAAGTCTGGCACGCAGAGGCAAATTTCCCGAAGAAGTACCATCGACCACTGTGTACGTATTATCGCGTGTGCCTGACATGCGAGGTGCGCAAAGAATGCGCCAACTGCGGCGTGCGGCAAGCGGAAGCTGCCTTTGGCGCGGCAGCCTGGAAAGCGCGCCATGTGGACCGAAGAGTTTGTCGCGCATGTGCACGCAAGCAACGCCGTTGGTGGCAGTGCCACACTTGTTACGTACGTAAAGAACCCTCCCAGTTTAGCACGTGGCTGGCCAAACGAACTGCGGGGCAGGATGGCCGGCAAATTTGTAACGGTTGCAAAGCTTTGCAAGTAGCCTGTCGCTATGCCGGCCGCGCCAATCATAGACTCGCGCGCCTCCGCGCCCGCGCCGCACAGAACCGTGTCCACGAGCGCTCCCCGCCGATGCTACGGCCAGCGGGTCCGAGCTCGAGCGTCGCCGGAGGCTGGTGGCGGAGACATGGGCCGAGATTACGGCGAGACAAGGAGAAACAACAGAAAGGACACAAAAGAAACGCAAGACGGAGACGCCGGCCAGCGACGAGAAGTTGTACCGTGAAGTCCAAGCAAAGAAACAGCATGAGTACGCATGCCCGCATTGTGGTGGCCTGGTCGCAAGCAATGTCACGACGGGACAAATTGATCACCGGACAGTGTGCGGC